TTTTCGAGTTTTGTGATAGCTTCGCTTACAAGGTTGTAGTTTGTTTTGATAAATGCTAAGTTTTGTTTTATCTCTTCATTTTTCACAATATGTTGACACTTTTTAATTGCTTAGGAAGCAGATTGAGGAAATTGTGATATAATTTCTTTAAAGGAATCAAAATTATCAGCATAAAAATAGGCAGCATCCATCCACGTACCCCACCCGGTAATCACTGGTTCAAGAGAAAGCAAGAACTGTTGAGGAGAAAGTGGTATGCCTGGCAATCTTCCTCGATAAAATTGAACATTCAAAGCAGCTTTTACGAAAACTTTCTTGTTTTGATTAAAGTATTAACCGAAGGAAGCTGTGCTCGCATAGTTTCAGCCACACGATTCATTCCATGTGCTAAACAAGTACAATGGACTAAGTTTTCATAAAAAAACTTTCAATTTTGTATATGCTTTTATGATGTATGCAGCCACGTCGGAAAGCATTAACAAAATCTTCTTACTTGGAACTGGGTTTGGCAAAAAAAATTCGTTAACTCATCGTGAATGAACCTCGTAATAGTATTATTATTTGTTTGTTCTAACTGCTTAGGACCTATCAAATAAACATTAGTTCGGCAATCTTCATTCAATCATTAGGTGAGCAGGTTATTCCAATCATTAGGTGGGCTATTCCTATTATTAGGTTATTCCAATCATTAGGTGAGCTATGTATAGACTACATAACTACATAAATCCGTGGTTTCATCTACGTAAAACTATATGTAATTATTTCCAATTTTCTTCTTAATTTCTTCGATTACGTTCTTGTAAAATAAGCTAACATAGTTTTTGCGTAAAGTAGATTCGGCGGGAACATGTCTTCCAGTGTATTTTTGTAAGAAGGTACACTATTATTAAGTTTTGTAAGGGGAATATTGCAAGAAACCATCATTTTACATAAATCAAAATACCGAAATTGAAAATTAAGTGGAAAATATGCACCAAATATCCCACCAATGGAGAAAATATGCGTAAAACTGGCATTAAAAAAATAAATTATTTAAAATCGGAAAATAAGCAAAATGGCATCAAAAAAAACTTAGCCACAGTATCATATTGATAATTTATGTGTATGTATATGATCAAAATACATATATATATATATATATATATATATATATATATATATATATATATATATATATATATATATATATATATATATATATATATATATATATATATATATATATATATGTATATATATATATATATATATATATATTTTCATTTGGATTTGGTTTAAGTATTTAATACTCATTTCCAACTACAGCCTATTGCTGCCTTCCTGTTACTCTACGCCACACATCTCGATTTAGAGCGTCATCAGCTTCTAGATTACGAGCTTCCATTGCTTCCGTAACCGTTCCGTTCCAGGATTTTCTAGGTCTACCTCTCTTTCTTCTGCCCTGGGGAGCCCATTGAAAAACTCTTTTTGGCCACCTGTTCTCCGGCATACGCAGAACATGTCCAAACCATTTTAAGCTGGATTTTTCGATTCGATCCAGTACTGTCTCCTCCGATGCATTCATGATACGCCTGACCTCGATGTTTGTCTTTTTTTCCATTGGCTTGATATACCTGCGCTTCTTCTAAGGTAGTCCATTTCAACAACTTCGATTTTGCGTTTCGCGTCTGCACTCAGAGTCCATAGCTCTGAACCATAGCAAAGAACTGACTCCACCAATGTTCTTCCAAGTCTCTTTTTAGTCGTTGCAGATAAGTTTCGGTCCCACCAGAGGCTGTTAAGACATCCAATAACTTGTTTGCTCTTCTGAATTTGGGTTTGTATTTCTTCTTTGCCCAAACCCTCGTTGTTGATAGTAGCACCCAAGTATTTAAATTTGTCTACTTGTTGAATCTGGACGTTATCATTAATGAAGACTTCAAAACAAGTGTTGGAATTGACAGCTAAGTATTCGGTCTTCTTTAGACTAACCTGAAGTCCCCATTTGTTGTATTCTTGATAAAGCCTCTTAGTCATGAACTCTAGATCGTATGAGTCCTGCGCAATCACGACCTGATCGTCTGCAAAGCTCAGGGTAAATAGTGTGTTGTCCCCAATGGGTATTCCCATACCTTGATATTTCGTCTTCCATTCCCTAAGGGCTAATTCGACGTAAGCGTTGAAGATCAGAGGAGATAAGCTGCATCCTTGTCGCAACCCTTTTGTGGTGTTAATTGGATTAGATAGCCTGTGTCCTATCTTAACGTACGATTCATTTTCTTTATATAGCTATTTTATTATCTTAAGCAAAGGTCTATCTACTTCTAAGATATTCAATACTTCCCATATCTTGCTGCGGGGAATAGAGTCGTACGCTTTCTCCAAATCAATAAATGCTAGATGGACTTCTTGATCTACTGCTATCTTTTTTTCCATCACCTGCTGCAGGACAAAAAGGTTATCTGTGAAAGATTTCCCCGGTGTGAATCCGCTTTGGTCTTCCGAGATTTGTCACCATACTGTCCCTGAGCCTACCCTGCTTAGCACCTTTCAAAAAAGTCTGCTGACCGAACTGTTAATGCTTAGGCCTCTATAACAAGTGGGGTCGTTACGATTTCCCTTTTTAAAGATTGACACTATGTGAGCCACTCGCCATTCTCGGGGTAGTTTACTTTGCAGGCAGCACTGGTTAAATAGCTCTGCCAGACGCCAGCGCAGTCTTTGGGTTCCACACTTTAACAATTCGGCTACAATATTACCAGGACCTGGTGACCGACGTCCATTTTTCATTCTTTTGAGACTTTGATGTACTTCTCTTTCGCTTATCATTAAAGTGCCTGCAAGGTTGTTCTCGTCTTCTACTGCTTGGAATTCTGGTCGGTTTTCTGTCAGTAATTCTGCATAGTAGTTGCGCCATTTTTTGCGTAAAAAAAAAATACATCTGCCATCAAATATTACTTATTGCATGATTTCTAGAAATCCGCACTCTACATATGAACATGGGTGTGCGCGTGTTTCTCAAACCTTGGTTTCTGCGCATTTGGTGACCCTGAAAAAAAAAGGAGTGGGGGGATAACAGATAACAAACAACCAAACCACAACGAGTAGCGGATTAGTGGGATTTTTGCCGTTAAGACTTGTGACTTTTGGGGTTCTTGCGGAATTACGGTATTTTTGATCATATGCACGGGCTGACTTATAGCACTTTTCCCGAATTCGTTTGGTAGGAACGTTATGACTAACAAATTACTGTCGGATAGCGCCATTAACTCATTTTACCCATTTTTTGACTAATGGGTCTTTTCCCAGAAACCCCTCATTTTATTGCCTTTAAAGTTAGAACAGTGCTATAACAAAAGTAGGAAGGAAGTAAGTCCTAAAGGAGTTGAACAAAAAGTGAATAATAATAATGATGTACCGATACCGTCTATTGGAGGATTAGGCGATGATATTTCAATTAATCCCACAGAAAGCTTTGATAGTGTTACAGATAAATGGAACAATTTCATCAATAAATTTGATAGCGATGTAAGGAAGAATTTAATTGATGATTCTCATGGCTTTTCGTCAGCTGTGCAACATTTTATAAACAACTACAACAAAAAGGTCAAAAGCCCTTCTAATCTAATGACTGGCCTAATCATGTCTTTTAGAAATTTTGGCACACCTTCATCAAATGTGCATGTGCTTTCTACTTCCATTACGAAAAAGGTAAAGAAGATACAAATACAACAAACTTCGCTGTCCAGAAGAAAAGCTGCAATAACTGGTAGAAGAAAAATTCAAGCTGGAAGAAAAGTTAAATGGTTATCAATACGAAAATCTAAGGCCCCTGAGTTATTAAATAGTTGTGTTAAAAATAATGTAGGTCTCGGAGAAAACAAATTTATAAAATAAATATTGAAAATATTCTTTCTCATTAGTTTATGATTTTTTGTTGTTTTTTTCAAATAAAATAAAAAAATTAAATCTTTTTGCCAAGTACAGCTATTCCCAGAAAAAAACTGATATGACTTATCTGGTCAGTACCTATATTCCCAGACAACACTTAATCATTATTGTTATTTATTAATTTTCATAGTATACACTACTCAAAAGGACTGCTCAAACTTAAAATCATATCAGTTTTCCGTACATGCCCGAACGATTTAGAAAAAAATTGGTGCGAGACGGATTCGCGCACGAAGCGTTCCGTATCTATACAACATTAGACACTATATTATTATAAACTTTTTTCCGATTTAGCTGAAATTTTGAATGCGCGTATAAGTAAATAAAAAAAAATGAAGAAACACATAACTAAAAATTATATTAATCAATAATAAATATGTAAAAAGTAAAAATAAATATGTAAAAATATATAATAATAAAAAAAAACGATTAAAAAAAGTCGCCTTGACTTGGATTCGAATCTGCCTTACTAGGGCTCCAACATCATAGCCTGAGGTCATAGCAGCGTAAAGTCCTAATACTTTAACCCCGCGGCCACCAAGGACTTGTAAAAGATTCTATGTAAAATTCTTACATAAAAGATAATGTTTAGTGAAAGTATTTTTTTATTTATAAACATTTATTTAATTCTGTTTTTAGTATTTGTTCTTATAGCGGCAACATAGATACATTATCTGTACAAATTTCAACTGTCTAGCTATAACGGTTCATAAGATAGACCTTTGTGACAGACGGACGGACAGCGAAGTCTTAGTAATAGGGTTGCCGTTTTTACCCGTTGGGTACGGAACCCTAAAAAAGCACTTCCATGACATTTAAATCTTACTAATTTAAAAACACTCTACAGGTAAATTTTACACACCTGACAAAAAATATATTTTGGTTCTTTCGTTGTTTTAAAGGTATCATTGTATCAACCGTACAGGATCGGAAGACGCTTGCAATATGAAACGCTCGATATGAAGAGGAGTTCGGCTCAACTTGTCTTGCGATAGCATACGCTCGTTACGAAAATTCCACCCGGTATATAGTCAGTGTATATTTAATTTTAAAAACTTAGCAAAACTTACGATGCTCCTCAAAAAAATCGTGTGACATTTCAGCAAAAGCCCTTTTCATATTAGCTCGTAAGCCTTTTGGTGGTTCGTTTGTCACTTTGACAGAATTCTGCAAAACAGAAACAGGAAAATTTTTTGAAGGCATCGAGCTCATATATAATCTGAATGACTTGTGAATATTTGGTGCGTGTTCTGCTATATCTAGTACAATTTTCTCCATTGCGGGCATCCATGAACTTGCTAAGTGGCAATTCTAAAAATTATGGAAAATTTAATAAAAAATTTTATATATTATAAAAAATTTTATATAAATTTTAAAAAAAGTTTATTTTAACTGTTTAAAATTCTTGCTGAAAAAAAAAATTTTTTAAAATCTCAGACAATTGTTAAAACCCAGAAATTTGTCAAAACTCGCACAAATTGGGCACGTTTCCATTACGTTTCCATTAAAATGGAGGAAATATTAAAAAAGCTAAAGAAGCACAACAAGCGTTACTTCCACCTAAAATTGAATCAATTTACTAAAACTATAGGCTGTGACAGAAAAATATTGTAGCAGGGGATGTCGATACTGCTCTCTTGTACATTTTTTATATATTATGACTTTAATAATGTAAATAAATTATTAGACGAGTTAAATATATTCGATATCAATTAAACTTTAATTACGTAATCAACTTCACGATTTTTAACCCTTAACTGGTCCGGCGTCGTCTGACAGACTACGCCAAATAATTAACTCATTCTCATTAGTTACTGGGACCGCCTACAGGATTGGCATTCCAGCTAATCCTCCCCTTCACGGTCAACAACTGATATAACCAGGCAGAAGTTACTTAAGCCGTAGTCTCTCAGACGACGCCGGATCGTTTGTGTAAGATTTTGTGTCACAAACTTTTGTAAAATATGGCCGGGCATTCGAAAAGAGTGCGTTTAAAAGAGTCTAGTTATGAAGAAACTCTATTAAAATGATATGATGAGGACTGTGACAATGACAATATGACAATCTGCCAGACAAATGCGTTTGACAATGTCAAATATTCCACGAGAAATACACTTTACAATTGGTAGAATACTTCCAATTCCTGTACGACCAGAACTTACTTTAACTTTATTTAAAAATTACTTTTTTAATTTTGTACTAGTTTATAGCACTTAACAATATAATCAATCATTTGTCTGTCATCAATGTATCGTATACACCTCTATAATTATTTAATACATAATCTTATACTGGTTACAATGGTCGACATGTCAACAACAGAATTTGCGTTATTTACTACGTTATGGAATTAACTGATTATCTGCCATATTAGGTAACTGCGGATGTACGTCACTAACGTAATAAAGAAGCAAAAAATAACCAATAAATAAACTAACCAAAAGGTTAGTTTATATTTAATAATACGTGGCTTTGGGTGCCAGTTGTCGTATTTATGAAGAGTACAGTCAACATGTTCAGCATAATACGATATACTGAGAGAGAAAAGACTATATAATACGAGAGAAGGATGCGAAGTTTATTACCTATTAAGTCGGATCGGTCGACAATAGAATTTGCGCTATTTACTACATTATGTAATAAATTGATTATTTGTCTTATTAAGTAACTGCGGATGTACGTGATTAAGTAATAGCATGTTTTACGGGTACACTTCGGCCTCCTGGATGAGATAAACGCAATTTTATTAATCACAATTAATAAAATTAATAAATTATATATTTTACCTAATTTATTACTAAATATTATTACTGTTAGTTATCATTACCATTAGACCAACATACAGCAATTTCAAATAAAAAAATAATATTTAAGATAATTATTACAAAAAAAATAATTTTAAAAAGTTTTAACACACTGTATCATATTTTTTATCATATTTTTTGATGAGGAATCAAAAAGTACTTTTTAAAACTTTTGCAAGTTAATGATATTAAAATTTTATAAAGGTTGCTATTAGACTTGAATCAAATGAAAAGCGAAATGGACAAAATATGAAGAGACAACTTTTATTCGGCATTAAACGGCTTACACTATTGCGCTAACAAGAGAGACAAAAAAGGCAGTGGCGTACATGCTTTTTTAGAAAAATATTCAGAGAAAACCCATATGCACGTCCCTGAATTGCATATGTTGACACCAGCGTTAAAATATATCGCATTAATAGTAACTTTACCCTCAAAATTTCATTCGAATCCCTAAAAGCACTTGGAAGAAAATTACAATAAATCGAATAAATATTAAGACTTTAACACCCTGTAACTACAAAACAAAGCAGAATCGGATCTATGTTGATATGAAAAATAAATCTTATTTTTACGTGAGGAATCTGCCCACGAAAGATGGCACATGCTTTTTGAAACACCCTGTATATACAGGGTGTCCCAGAAATAAGTGCAAGTAATTCAACTGGTAGTATAGTTCAACCCCAGAAACACGCCTATGAGGTTTTTTTCACGAAAATTTTTTTTTCAAAATTCGAAATTTTTTGAAAAATTTTTTGGATTTTTTTTAGTTTTTAATTAAAAAACATAATTTCTTGACAATAATATAGCAACATAGGTATTAGATTAAATTTACAAGAAAATAAAATCCAGAAAAGATCCAGCGATTCTCAAAATTTTAACAAAAAATCATGTTTTTTCGAAACTTTCAAAGTAAAATAATTCCGTTATTTTGGACTTATTTGAAAACGAAAAAGAGAAAATATGTTTCTTTTATCGAGATTTACCACCCTTTAAAATACTTGCACTTATTTCTGGGACAGCCTGTATATTCGAAAAAATCGAAAACGAAAACATATTTTTCCAGCAAGACAAGGCACCGCCTCAGAATGGTGAAGTTATCAGCAAATTTTTGCAGCCAATTTTGAGAATAATTTAATAGCTAACCAAGATCTCAGAGGCTGGACATCGAGGCCGGCGCGGCGGACTTATTTCCTGTGGATTTTTATTTTTGCGGAAGAATAAAGGTTCTTATTTTTAAATTGCCCATATATAATCTAGGCAAGAATTAGACCTACTTATGCGAGGGTATCTTTCATCCCCACAGAGTTAATTAATTCCGCGAGAAATGTTCAAAAACGGCCCCGTCTGTCCATAACACAAGACGGTTGACATATCGAACAACCAAAATCTCAAATCTTGGTTTGATATTAATTTTTATTGTTATTAGATATAGTTTAAATATGTTGATGTTGTTAAATGTAATTTAAATTGTTATAAAATTCTGCATCTCTCATTGCAAATATTATTCCGCCGTTCAAAATACCTACTTATTCAAAGTGGGCGAATTTTTACAAACTGTATATCTCGAGAGAGAAGAGGAATCCAAGGCAAAATATCAAGTTAAATTATTTTCAATGAATTAAAAATATACAGGGTGTCCCATATAAAAAATCAAATTTTCTTTTCATAATTCCTAAATTGTTAATTTAAAAAAAATATTCTTAAACCATTAAATTCTACATAAAAAGGTGCTTTGGAAATGTTTTCATAAAAATACAAAATTTTCTGTAGCAAAAAAGTTACAGCGATTTGTTAAAAATGCACTTCTTGAAAAACATCCCGTAATTCTGAAACGGTAAGATATCTATATGCGGTTTTCACCGTCATGTTTTTGATAATATTAAGATTCTAGACACCGATATTAGTCTTCGTCTATCTCCTACAGAAAAGGGCGTTTCCCTTTAAAAGCGTCCAATTTGGCCCACCCTGTACATGTGTTGATAAATAATATATGTCAAGGGTCGACAAAGGCCCGGAACTTAAGATACCGCTGACCCGAAGATACCGCTGAGCCGACAGTCGCTGGCAGTCGTTGGCAGTCGCTGGCAGTCTTTGGCAGTCACTGGCAGTCGCTGGCAGTCGCTGGCAGTCGTCGGCAGTCACTGGCAGTCACTGGCAGTCTTGTATAAAATGACATTTTGGCAATACGTGTACATTTTTTACCCTAGTGAGACACCCTGTAGCATTTTTTATTCCCTTTAATAAAATTGAATTTAAAAATCTATTTTTATTTAAATTTCTTAGTATTGGCGCCATCTATTTGCTAGATGCCAAAGATGCCAACCTCCATTTGTTACAGCTCACTTGTTTCGATATTTAATTTTTATTAGCGCATCTATTCGCTAGATGTCAAACTTCATTTATTACTGTTCATTTGTCTTGTTTATTAGCGCCATCTATTCGCTATATGCCAAACATCTTTAATTGCATTTCACTTGTCTGTGGTGAAAAGGGTTTTTTGTTTTCGGTTCTGAAACGGAGAAGAAGGTCTTTCTTTCTGGGAATTTGGATCTGAAGAAGACGCTTGTTCCGGCGTCCGACAAATTTTCCAGTGAAAAGCACTCTGAATCCACTTTTCGATTTCGATTGCATGGGTATCCGATTTGGAAATTTGAAAACCTTGTAAAGTATGCAATCCAGAGTATAGATCGTATTTGTTTGGTTTCTTCTTGGAATAATCACCGTAAGTTTATCCGCCATTTTATATAGCCCTATCTAACTAAATTCTATTTCAGTTATTTCCGTTTTTTATTTCGTTTATTTGAGTATTTAATTTGGATCGGCATATGGTTTGAATATATTTATGTAAAGCTGATTTTCAGACCGTAAGTTGTTTTTTTTATTGAGTATCTGTCCTGAGAACTATTTTTTTATTTATAGAGTAACTACCACATGGTACTCAGTAACTACCACATGGTACTCAGTAACTACCACATGGTACTCAGTAACTACCACCTGGTACTCAGTAACTACCACATGGTACTCAGTAACTACCACATGGTACTCAGTAAATACCACATGGTATGCAGTAATTATTCTATGTTTCACCCACTTTCATTTTGTATGGACCTATGCAGACCTTAAGACAATGTTCCTGACATTACAATCGTTCTTTTGGCTGATATCGAAGACTTCTCCTGCCATAGTCATCTGCATCCACTTCTGTTAGTCTGGAGAGTACCTAACTACCTGTTTACATCATAAGAAACTATATACAGATAAGTCTTAAGTTTGATACACAAGGTACGCTTTTATTTTATAATTTTTGAGACAACAGATTTAATAACCTGGTAAATTATCACTATTTATTCCACATATTGTAGTCAAAATTATTTTTTATTTAACGTTATAAGTTATAATTTGATTCGTACAGTACACTCTTACTTACTATATAATATTTTATATGAAAATTATTAACACATATTCATTTTAAAGGTTTTTGTACACGACATGTTTCGAAACATCAT